TAGTTAGCAGGAAGACTAGAGGTGTAGCCGTAAGGAGTCATCCAGAGCTGAGAGTAGGAGTGGATCGTGAAGAACACCTTCATCTGAGGAGCCAAGGCCAAGACTGAATCCCGGACAGCCTGCGACTCTGCCTCTGAGAAAGCGGATGGTCCTGCAAGGGGAAAGGGTAAGAGAGTGGATGAGGAAGAAGGGACATGGGGAAGGAGGGGGAAGGGAAGGAAAGCGAGAAGGAAAAAGAGAGAAAAGAGAAAAGCGATGAAGGGGAAAAAAAGAGAGAGAAAGAGAAAAAAAGAAAGAGTGGGAAGGTAGTGGCATTCCTTTAACGAATCTCAAAGAAATCAGTTGGGTTACTGCATCTCAAAAGCCAGACAACCTGCGACGTAGAGATTCATCCAGAAACACTTACCGTGGTAGATGTCAGAGCAAGGGCTGTTGGAGGTTCCGGGGCCACCGAAGTCAGAGTCGAAGTTGCGGTTGGGGTCAGTGCCGTGGCATCCCAGACTGCCATAGGGCACACGGTTCTTACGCCAGAGACGTTCCTGATACACGAATGAGTATATTTATATGTGTTCTGTAGGCTGTTTAGATGATATCGTCCCGAGTGCATTCGCTGTGATGTAATCTGTCTCAAAACTGGAATATTTTCCGTGACATTATGACTGACACTGTAAAGGCCAGCTTATATAGTACAGTGTATTTACCGGTTGGATTCGTAGAAAGCTAATTTTACCTAACATTCCTTTTGTATCTGCAGCATTGCCCAGTTACAACTGCATTATTTTCTATGAATTTCTATAAGCAAAACGAGCCATGGCTTACGGAAGTATGTGTGAAGGTGTAGCCATCAGGGTTAACAGACGGCAAGATATGGAAGTCATAGGCGTCGAGCAGCTCCGTGACCTCGCTGTCGCTGCCGTAGCCTGAGGTCAGCTTGTCCATGATCCACTGGCAAGTAGCCGGGGCGATCCACTCACGGGCGTGGATGCCGCAGTCAATCCACACAACCTCTTTGGTGCCGCCGTTGCCAGATGAAATCTAACGGTCGAGAAAAGCGTTTCTTCATTTCAGAAGTATGGTCTTCGACATGTGTATGTATGTATGTATATATATATATGTGTGTGTGTGTGTATTGTATATCTGTGTATAATGTGTTATATATAGATATATAAATACTGTGTATATATGTATATATGTATATATGTATATATGTATATATGTATATATACATATATCTGTATATGTATATATATGCATATATATATGAAGTCATTGGATTTCCCTGCTGGTGTGGCAGGAAGAGCTTATGTATATACCTTAGCTACACGGATCGTAATAACTTCGTATAGCATACATTATACGAAGTTATACGATGTATATATATGCATATATATACATATACATATACATATATATATTATATATATATATACATATATATGTATAATATATATACGTATATATATACATATACAGATATATGTATATATATACATATATACACACACATACACACACACACACAATATATATATATATGTATGTATGTGTATATATATATGCATATATATGTATATATATTATATATACAAATATTATATATATGTGTGTGTGTGTGTATTGTATATCTGTGTATAATGTGTTATATATAGATATATAAATACTGTGTATATATGCATATATATGTATATAAACATATATATATATATATGCATATATACACAGTATTTATATATCTATACACACACACACACATCGTATAACTTCGTATAATGTATGATATACGAAGTTATTACGAATCCAATGACTTGATATATATATCGTAATAACTTCGTATATCATACATTATACGAAGTTATACGATGTATATATATGCATATATATGTATATAAACATATATATATAATATATATATAGATAGATAGATATTATATATATATGTGTGTGTGTGTGTATGTATGTATGTATGTATATATTCGTATAACTTCGTATAATGTATGATATACGAAGTTATTACGTGTGTGTGTGTGTGTGTGTGTATGTATATATAGATATATAAATACTGTGTATATATGCATATATATATCAAGTCATTGGATTTCCCTGCTGGTGTGGCAGGAAGAGCTTAAGTATATACCTTAGCTACACGGATTGGTCGGCCTTCATAAGAAGTTCCAGCGGTGTAAGTGGAGACCATTTCACCGAAGTCACTCTCCACAGCGTCCAAGATGGAGTAGATCTGCGGATAAAATTGTAAGTCAGTAACAGTCGCCCAAATTGATTTTGTAGTCTAAATGTTTATTTACATTGTTTCTGGTATCGTTTTTCATGGCAATGTGTCCCTTATGGTAAGCATTTAGAATACCTTCGCATAACCTATCTCGGCTATTTTGGTATCGATGGATTCCTCTCACCCTTTATCCAAGTATACTGAAATTATATTGCGGATGCCCTCCCATCACCCACAATTGCCGGAAAGGGCATGGAAGTTACCAAGGAAACTGGATGGTAAATATGAATAGAACGTAGTAAATACGTAATCATATTAAAAATATACAATGAATAGGTCACAAATTGTGTAATACAGGGGGCTGAGCCCCTTGCAACCGCCACCCCACCCGGGAGGCTACCGCCCCTCACTCCTCAACTGGAAGACAAAGAATCCTCTACGAATACACGACAGGATGGAGCACGAGAGAATCCCATGGCTCCACCTCACCTCTGTTGCTGTTATCAAGTAGGTTAGTATTTTGTAATTCCTAAGATGTATCTTGCCGTGCTCGCCTTGCATGTAGATCATACGCTCTATCCTACCTTGAATACGAAGGGGGCTGGGGTGACAGCCCCCGGGGTTGGGTCGCAGTGGGAACTACTTCCTGCATTCGTCAACGAAGTGAGTTAACATCTATATTGTTTCGTTATATCAATGTCATTTTAACCCGCGATTTCCCGGGTACCTTTCATGCCCTCTCCAGCTATAAAAATCAATAATGGGGGGAAGGTTCCGCATCATAATTCTTACGTAGGTGTGCACTGTACTACAGTGAGAGGAATTCATTCCTACAAAAATCGTCACGATCGGTTGTGCGAGGGTTTTCTTTACTAGAACTAGTTACGAAAGTGAAAGAAACCATTATGATTTGTATCCCAGCCCATAATGCTATCAGTAATTCGATTCCCATAAGGCCTAATACGTGAAAGGGTCACTGCAATTTATCACACGGAATTCAAACAACTATAATTCAGTTACTCACACGATCCCTAAACAAGTACATCATATGTACTTACTCATACTAGGGCCATCTCGACCACCGGTTCACTCATAAGATCAACTAGTTCCATTTTTCATTCAGCAATCACCTTGTCTTCTGTCGCACACTCAAATGTTTCAATGATTCGCTCACATTTACTTGTTTGTTCACATCCATTGTTACTCGTTTTCCCCTAAAGACTGAGTAATGACTATTCATCGCTTCCAGTTTATACCCGTGTTTCTTTTCTGGGGTCATTCAATGTGCTTTTCCTCAGAACTAGGCGCTGACATATCTCCATCTTATGATAGAGCTTTACTTCTATTGAAAATAAGGTAATGCGGATATGCTGTTGGCTGACTGAACAGTTGTGGCTTTTGCTCTATATTTCCATAAAAAAGAAGGTAGTGGATGGCAGATCTTCATGATAGTAAGTGAAAACTGTCTTCTGATCGACAAAGCTAGGTTATATATATCCCGTAGCAAATATCAGGCATTTATAACTTTTGTTTGCCTTACAGCATAACCATTTCAAATAGTAGGACGGATTAAAAATATTTTATTTCGTTTTTGCAGGTTGTCTTTCATTTCGGTCAGCTAAGCACTGTGAACGCTCCTCCCACCCTGTGTCTGATCATCTCTCGTTCCTTGATTTGAACAGCCATTCGCGATCCTCTCATTCGTCCCTTAGCAACTTTCTCACCTGGTCAAGGGTCTGGTAGGATGTGTGGTCGAACTGGCGAGGGTGAGGATCAGCCGACCTCTGGGTGGCCATCTGCTCGTCGATCAGTCTAGTGGGGAAGGTGAGCTAACATTTAGGGTTTTGTGATTTGCATTACTATAACTGTGAATGATATTAGAAGTGACGTTTGAGTAATACTATCATTACTGATGCACTTTTGTAGTACTTTACTGTGGTGGATATCAGCATATTATATCAAAACACACCGTTATCATCATCATCTTCCGGAGCTAACGCCGACGGGGGCGCATAGCCGCGTCAGCCGCGTCCACCTTCTGCTTCCACCTTTTGGGATCCCTCATGGCAAGTCGCCAGGCAGGGGCCCGGCACATCTCGAGCTCTTCCCGACAGGTTTGATCGATCTGCCGAAGCCACGACCTCCTAGGTCGTCCCACAGGCCTCCTCCACCCAGGGTTGTCTCTTACAGAGACAACCTGATGAGCAGGATCAGCCTGTGGAAAGCGAGCCATGTGGCCATATAGCCTGAGTTGG